AAGGAGGTTCACTCACCACACTGCTATAGGGTGGAGACTGGTTAGGCTTTGGAATGGGGGAAATCTTGTTTTTCATTCTAGTATTCCTGTATTGGGGAATATTTTTATATAGTGAAATGGAATCATGGAATACAAATAAATGTAAACATTTAAAAATAAGTTCTTAGTGTATAAAATGCAATCTAGGGCAATAAGCCATTTTGACTAGGATTGGAATGTGATAGTAAGGGGCCAGACAACAGGCACACGCCTAACTACTGAACTCCATTAATAGGCTCTACTAATTGCAATCAGAATGGCAGCTCCATGGCGTAGTTAACACTCTCCCAACAGTTTGATTGCGCTCAAATGTCTTACTTTATTGCTTTTATGAGTAAATAAGAAGGATCCCTTCAGAACACATTCTGAGGTATTTAACTGGTGTTAACCACAACCGGGGACCATATTTCATTTTTTATCTTCTTCCCTATGCCCCCTTCCCTGAGTCCTCCCCCTTTGTGACTACTGTATGGATCCTCTGCTCAGGACATGCCTCAAAATTCACAGCCCCCAGGAGACCCAGCTTAATGAAGCTGGCCTCAAGGAGAGACCCTCTCTTCACACCCTTGCTGAACATGTTCCCTGTGTTTGATAACATCATTTTGTTCCGTCATGAGGGTTGCTTGATAATTGATTCTTGGCATTTTTTTTGGCTTACAGGTTCACCTAATTCATCTCCCAAAGTAATAGACTCTTCATGAACAGAGAATGTTCATGAAGTGCGTAGACATTGAAGACAGAAATGTCTTAATGTAAAACCTGACTCTTCTACTTCTTCTGGATATTTTTCAGGGAGTAAATGGGTTTTGTTTTGTAGGGTTTTCTTTGCTTATTTCTGTGTGGTATTTGTTTGTCTTGTTTTTTGATTGTTATAAATTTTTGGAGAGAGAGAGTGTGAGCGAGAGTGATACAGCAGTAATATATAGTTGGGTGGGTTGCGAGATTGGGAGACATAGGAGGAATTGGACAGGGAAGACATGGTCAGAGGATAATGTACAAATGATTTTAAATAAACAATAACTAATAAAAACAACCCCATTAAAAAGCGAGGCATGGAAGTGAGCAGGCAGCGTCGCACTGTGTAGCCAAGGTTGGTGTCAAATTCAACGTCGTAAGTGCTAGGATTATAGAAAGGCACCACCATCCCAGCTGGAAAATTTTTGGAAACTGTATTTTCCTCCCTTCTGATTCTATAGGATTTGGGGGCTGGCAAGGCAACCTGTAAAGTGAAGCATTTGGCTGGAGCTTTGGGGACCAAGATTTCAGTATGACTCATATTGGTCTTCATGTTCTGTCTCCAAGCCACCACAGGAATGTATATAATGTTCTGACATCAGCTATGTCTACAGTGGGGATTAAGCCATTGTTTTTATAATTGTTGGATATTGTGACATTGTATATTGATTGTCAATTGACTGGGTATGAAGTCACGGTGGAGACAAATCTCTAGGCATGTCCTTGAGGGGTTATCTTGATCAAGTTAATTAAAGTATGAAGAGACCCTACCACCCCACTGCCGCCACCACCACCAAATGTGGGCAGTGTCATTCCCTAGGCTGGTGTCCTGGATAGAAAGGAGAACACACCAGAAAGCACCATTCTCTGCTTTCTGACTGAGGGTATAATGAAGCCACCATGATTTTCCTGCCACAACAGACTGTCCCTCAGACTGTGAGCTCCAATAAACTCTTCCCTCCTTCAGCCGCCCTTTTCAGGTGCTTTGTTGATGCAATAACATGAGTAACAGGCTGATGTGTTCAAGTATGTGGGGATATATGGGCTTCGTAAGTGTAAACTGGGGATTGTACTTTTCAAGTCAGTGTTCTTTCATTCATTATCACCCTGCTTACTGTGATAATTTACCTGGAGTCTGCTTTCCTCCAAGAGGGCTATTCTCTCTCTCTCTCTCTCTCTCTCTCTCTCTCTCTCTCTCTCTCTCATATAGTGCTACTTCAGGGGCCAAGTTGCATTTACTCCTGAAACATTTCTTACTTACAGTATATATGCATTTATATATGTGGTCACTTATTCATTAAAAATGTACAGAATAATGAGTCTAAAGAGAGATGGCTCAGTGGTCAAGAGTATGGGCTGCTCTTCCAGAGGACCCAGGTCCAATTCCGAGCACCCACAGCATGGTCCATAAATGCCTGTAACTAGTCCTGCGGCTTTTCTAGCCCCTGAGGCACTAACATACATGTGGTGCACAGAGATATAGAGATATGTTTACATCCGTAAACATAAAAACAAATAGATAGATAAAAGTTTAAGAACATATAGAATGTTGTATTAGCATGACAGATAGGCACAAAGAACGAAAAAGTGCCCATCAGGTGGATGAATTGGGGAAATTCACCATCTACAACAGTCCTGAGGCAGTAAAGGAAAGATGCTGTCAGGAGGTATAGGTTCTGGGTGGAGAACATGGCTAGAAATGGATTGGTAGGAAAGATAACCTATATATTATGCAAAGGAGTTGAGATTTAATCATGTTGGTAGTGTGGTGCTGCAAAGAAATCTGTGCAAGGACATAACAAGGTCAAATTGTATGTGGTGAGGAAACTGTAGGCACTGGATACCAGCTGGAGTGCAGAGGATGAAATGGAGGGAAGGAAGAAAACAAACAGAGGTTTCTGGAGAAGTATGGGGGAAGATGATGAATGGCTGATTTGGGATGTGAAAGAGGGACTCCGAAGTAGCATAGAGAGGACATGGTTCGTGATTGATGTGTTAGGTCTTTGTTATTGTCATAGCAAATTACCCTGAACTTCACGGCTTAAAACAATCCAAATTTATTATCTGTTCTGTAGCTTGGAAATTTAATGTGACTCCACTGGCCTAACACCAAGCATTCAGCAGGCAGGCTTTCTTTTCTAAAGGCCTGGGGTAGAATTTGCTTCCTCGCTTACTCAGGGTTTAGGTGTAATTCAGTCCCATGTGTGTATAGAACTGAGCAACAGTTGGGGTTCAGCCCCATGTTTCAGGGGCTGCCAGCAATCACGGCCTGCACAATGTATTATTAAAGGCAGCAGGGATGAGCTGTGTTCCTTCCACTCTGACTCTGTCTACCTCTTGTTTTGTATGCATGTTTTCATGTGTGTGAAGGTGTCTGTGTGTGTGCATGAGGACTTATTCGAGTGTGCATATAGAGTCCAGAGGTCAACCTCGTGTAGCTTTAGTGCTGTCCGTGATCATGGGGCTATGTTTATAGGAGTTCAACTTTAGGTTCAAACCTCAGGCATCGAGGCAGGCAAACTCCAAACTGTTTTCCTTCAGATCCATCTTCTTCTTATATTGCATTGAAGTGCCTATAAATTTTATCCAAAGGAGAGCTGGTTATTCTGCATCTTGGACTGCTGGCTCCCTAATTCATACATCAGCAATCCTCAGCACATAGGATGCACAAGGGGGAATAAAAAGGGCACTGTGTTTCTTTTCTCTGAGTAGATTTTCTGAAAACACCACAGTACAATCTGACTTGTACATCATTGATCTGAATTCAGTCATGTAGCCACATTCAGTGTCAAGATGCCCAGGAAACTGTAGTCTTTTTATGGTAGCAATGTCAGAATAAAAAATAAAAACTGTGCCACATGAAATGGGGGGAGAATAGACGGTGAGAGATGTGTTGCAATCACATTATTTGAAACACCTTCTTGTCTCTAGTTGTTCTTATAGCTTTCCATTCCTCTGTGCCTTGAAGCTGAGCAGTAGTCTGCTTTAGGAAGTAGTACTTAAGCAGAAACAAAGATTGGATATAGTGGGCTTAAAATGTACAGTCATGACTTGGGTATGTTCTTCTATTTTCTGAACTCAGTTTGCCCACCAGCCCTTATTTCCACTAATGGCAAGGAGTAAGGTCAGTTCACTTCTGGTGTGTGTGTGTGTGTGTGTGTGTGTGTGTGTGTGTGTGTGTGTGTCCTAGGAGGGAGGGAAGGTAGTGGATTTGCATGCACACTCATGTAGACATTAAAGAAAGATTATCTGGTGTTTTCCTCCACTGTCTTCCACCTTGTTTTCTGAGACAGGGTCTTCCACTGAACCTGAAGTTCACCATTTCAGCTAGGCTGACTGCTCAGTAAGCTCCCAGGATCTTCCTGACTCCACCCCCTCTCTTCAATGCTGGGGTTATAGGCATGTATAGCCAGGACTCACTTTTTTTTGTGGGTGGTAGGGGTTCAAACACAAGTCCTCTCGCTTGCACAGCAAGCACCTTTACCCACTGAGTCAACCCCACAGCCCCTGTTTCTCTCTCTGAGGACTTAGCAGATAAACTCAAGTCTCCATCTTTTCTCCTTTGCCGCTTTCTCTCCAGGGCATGGTCTAGTGAGCTGCTTACCTACGAACTTTCCTGTTCTCATGGACCTCCTGTAATCAGGCCTCTTCCTGGGACCCTCTTAGAAGCTGGGGCACTGTGCTGACGCTTTCAGCTTCTCCTCTGTCTACTGCAGAGGTTGGCATGTAGGAAACAGTTAAAATGTGACTGATGCAATCATGAGTCTGCTTTAGATGCGTCATATAATTAATTCAAATGGCACCATAATGATCTGAAAACCCTGCATAATTAAAAGTCTATTTCTCTACGCCCCCCCCTAGCATTATGCTTATAACTTTCTTACAGCACTCATAACCCTCTGCTCATGGATACAATGGGTTGTGTGTTTGTCGGGCTGGTCATTAGAATGTCTGCCTGCTCTTGAAGAATGTCCCTGCTCTTTGTGCCTCTCACTAGTGCTGAGGTGGGGAGAAAGTGCCCTACAATCTGGTAAGATGAGTGATCACAGGAGGAGGGGCTGGTCTATGTGGCTTTCCATAAGTGAATGATTCCCACCTGGGGAGGAGCAGAGCAGTCTCCCCCCCCCCCTTGCTGCTAAGAAGGGCGTCAACAAACAACAATTGATATTTTGCCCTTTACCGAATCTTAATTTACTTTAATGAAAAGCCTTGCTTTTGTTTTTCAGAAATCCCCCACCCACTTTGCTGCACCCAGAAGAATGGTGTGAGGAATTTAACCACTTCATTTCACAGTGAGTGTTTCTTCCTCTGTGAACCTAGCAGCAAGGTCTTGACCCATGAGTCCTGAAACCCAAGCTATGGAACATGCTCCGTCCTAGCTGGGCCAGCTAGTGCGTAGTAACCCAGGGATTGCCCTAGTTATGGGTTAAGGAGCTCCTGCAGAATCCAAAGAATAAGAGATTCCAGATGATTCAACTGTTATCGGTCCTCATTAGTGCATGTATCTGCAAACCTACTCTGTAAAAGATGCACATCTATAATGATGTCTTCTCTGGGAGCAGAGAGACACAAACAATTGCCGTTTTTACAGGTTTGGCAGCTGGGGCACTGGGCTGTGCTCTAGGATTTTTGACACAGGACTCATGTTTCATTTTCCAAGACGATGGAGGCAGAGTAGGATCTTTGGACTAAGGCATCAGGATGAGGCATCAAAATAAGGCATCAATACAAGGTATGGGCTAGAGGAAGGCCTTGTGGAATGGTGTGAGATCCCTGGTGGAAAGCAGGCCACCAGGCCAGACTTACTGAGACTAAAACAACAGAACCAACAGAGTTGTGCTAAGTTAGTGCTGAGATCATGGATTAGTGCCCAGTCCTGGGAGAGGGCCACACTGGTACCAAATGCATGGAAGATGTTCATTCAGTTCAAGGAGGCCCAGGTGAAGACTCAGTTATTACTAGAGTGGGAATTAATCACTAGAAGCCACCACCAGGTTCCAGATCTGGAATAGATGCCCCAGCACCTGGTGTTCCAATCAAGAGCTTCCGAGACTATGGGAGAAGAAAGTAAATGGTCAACTGTGCTGATAAATAGGAGAGGAAAACACACATTTTTTTTTCTCATTTATGCCTATGTGCAGTCTTATCTTCCAAAACCAAACAGGATCATCCTCCTTAATATCTGTTTAGATCTACAATCTTCACCCACAATCCCTAAATCCAAAAAGCTCCTGGAAATAGAAGTTATTTTGTGGTTGAGTCATCCGGCAGCAAAACTTGACCTTATGTGAACTGGTATGGGGGCAATGTGTGCCCTGAACTGATGAGGAGTTATTTATAGTCATTATCTTTCTTAGTGTGAATATTCATGTGTTTCAATGCAGATATATTCCTACTTGATGATACCGCCCTGTACCAGACCATTTTGCCTTGTTACATAATGTGTTGCAAATGTGCCAGTTTAGCTGTCTAAAATTTGATCAAATTTAGAATTCTAAACATGTTTGACCCCAAAGGAGTTGGTATGAGAGCATGAGTTTGTATTTCATTTCCATTTCAAATACATCAGAGCTCAGGGCCCCAAAAATTGTTTGTTCATCTAATCCCTCCTGGACCTGTACCCTATCCCTCAGGACAGAAGAACAGGGAGACAACTCAGAGAGCACTGCTGAGAGACATAGTGTTTGAAGGTGACTGTGAAGTTTTAGTGTCAAGGAGAAACTCAGAGAATGCTAACCAGAGAGGTAGTGTTGGATGGTGAGGTACAGGGCCAAGGCTGGAGGGCATATTCTTGCTCCTCAGCTCAGTTTCATTATTTTTGCCCTAACTGCAGAATGCATGGGGACTGCCACAAATCAGAGTGACTGGCTACTGATACTTGATAGGTGGACAGCACTCACATGGGAGCCAAGGAAGGACCACTTCTTGAAGGCTGGTAGCCATGGGAGGAGGGAGACAGAATTGAAGAGCCAAAGACACTCTAGTTGCTTGTGGCCACATTTCAGAGCATCCCACACTCAGAGGGAGATCTCTCTGCACCTAAAGAGTTTCCCTTTTGTTCCATTGCTTTCCAGATAACCTTGATCAGCCTTCTCTGAAGCTGGCCTAGAGAATTCCATTACATATTCACAGATACACCTTCCCATCCCATCATGCAGCAAAGATGTGATTTGACTCACAAGTTCCCCTTAACTGTGTTTTTCTCAAGAGTATGGTTGGTTTCTTTAACCAACACAGTACAGCTTCTGTGGATTTAATATGGTTCACAGCTGATGGCAAGTGAAACTTGTAGGGTCATGCTTGCTGTAGAGTATCTCCTTTGTTTCCTTCAGACAAAACCCATGAGATGTCAGTTCCAATCTGATTATGTTTTCCAATTTTGATATTTCAGACGTACTCATCCCAAGTTACCTCAGACCTTGAAAACTCTGGAACACTGGGAAGACTGGGGAGGGATGGGAAGAGGGATGGGAGCATGGAAGACACAGAAATCAATGCCTTTGAGAATACATGTATCAGGAGCAAAGAAAAAAAAGTAGATCTTAATGAAAACACAGACAGGAGAACCCTGCAGGGTCTAATGAGCCAGGGAGGCAAAGGGAAACTAGGTGATTATGTGATTTATCATTGATTTGAGATATGGAAATGTGTCACCCCCCACATACACATACACCCCTTCCTCTTTCTGCTTCTATCTTTGGTTACTGAGGATTAAACCTAAGACCTCAGCTATGCTAGGAAAGTTCTCTACCCCTGAGCTATAGCAGTCATTATGTTGCCCAGGCTGGCTGGAACTCACTGGAACTGAAACCTGGGCAGAGCTTGAATTGTGATTCTCCTGTCTCCACTTCCCAAGTAGCTGGCATTATAGGCCGGTGCCACCTGGCCCAGCAATCACCTCTTTCTTTAATGTATTGTCTTATTTTGTCATTAGTGAAAATACTACATGTGGTCCCAATTTTTTTTCTTGATCACACACCTCCAATGCTATTTTCTCCATAGCATCTTAGATTCTTAAACTGCACTAGTTTTTAGTAAGAGATATGAACATTGAAAACTGGTCATTACATTTCACATCTTGGGGTAGCATGACTGTTATCTTTGATTGTCAACTTTACACAACCTGGAGTCATCTGGGAAGATAGTCTCAATGAGGGATTGTGGACATTTGATTGGCCTGTGGGGGATTGCCTGAATTAAGTTAATCAACATGGGAAGACTCAGCCCACCGTGTGCAGTACCATTTCCTAGGCAAGGAGTCCTGAACTGTGTTAGAGTGGAGAAATCAAAGTAAGCACAAGTGAGCAAGCAAGTGAGCACACATGTTTCCATCTTCTCTCTGCTCTTGGTTGTGGATAGGATGTTACTACCCCATTTATGCCCTTGCTGCCATGAATCTCCCACAGTAATGGACTATCTCCTGGAATTGTTAGTTAAAATAACTCCTCCTCTCCTATACTGCTTAGCAGCAGAAATAAAACAGGTAAACCCATCTACTATTTCCAAATACTGCCTCTCTACAGGGTTTCACCTATTCAGACTTGGTATATAGCTAGTGTTGGCCTTGAATCTCTGACATTCCGCCTCCATATATTGAGTGCTGGGATTACAGGCATATGCTACCATGCCTGGTTTATTTATATAAGTGCAGGACATGCCAGGCAAGTACACTCACCAACCGCACCACATCCCTAGTCCCACTCCTTGATTTTGTACATCTTGTAGCCTGCCATTACTCAGCTACCAAAAATACTATGAACAAACATGATTTCATTAGGCTTATTCAAATAGGCAGTTAACTGTAAACAATGACACACTTTGCATTTGAAATGTCTATTTAGAGAGCTTTGGTTTGCTTTTATGCTTACTGTTTTGTACTGAAAAAATGAATGGGGAATTCATACCTTCCAACTATACGCTCTTCATCTTTGGAGGTACTAGTTGGGAAAGACAACATCTGAGAGTTTTAGTGAAATTGTTTTAAAGCAGAATTATGTAGATAATAGATTCAGTTCTCTTTATAGAACAAGCCACAGGGTACTGTGTAGAAGTAAATTGCCTAGATTCTCTCTAAAAATAAATAAGACTAGAAATATCTTCTTTAAAAATGTTTTTTTTTGTTTTGTTTTGTTTTATTATGTGTGTATGCTTTGTGCACATGGGTGTAGGTGCCTATGGAGACCAGAAAAGGGCATCAGATCCCCTGGAGCTAGAGTTACATACAGGCAGTTGTGAGCTGCCAGGTGTGGATGCTGGTAGCTAAACTCTGGTCCTCTGCAAGAGCTGTATGCATTCCTATCCTCTGATCCATCTCTGTTGCATGACTGGAAATATCTCTTTATTTTTGTTGTTGTTGTTGTATTCTGAGACAGATTTCTCTGTGTAGCCCTGGCTATCCTGGAACTCACTCATTAAACCAGGCTAGATTTGAACTCAGATCTGCTTGCCTCTGCCTTCTTAGTGCTGGGGTTAAAGGACTGTGCTACCACTGCCTGGCTTAACTCCCTACCTCTTCTCTCCCTCACCTAGATTTATTTATTTGTGTATTTATGTATGTGGATGTTTTGTCTTCACATCAGAAGAGGGAATCGGATCCCAAAAGACTATAGAAGTTACAGGTCCTTGGAATTGAACTTGGGACCTCTGGAAGAGCAGCATTCCTCTTAACCACTGAGCCACAGCTTTAACACCTTTTGAAACCCTATTGCCATGTGACCTCGACAGCAAAGGGGGTTCATCACTGAGGATCTTAATGTGTTAGTTACTTTTCTCATTGCTGTCACAAAATACCTGCCAGAAGCAACTTAAAGGAGGAAAAGTTTATTTGGGCTCACTGTTTCAGGGGGTCTCGCCCATCATGGATGCAAACATCTGGGGGAGAGCTCCATATGTGGTGGGAACTTACAGACATTTCTCATTACATGGTTCTCATCAAAAAGCAGAGAATGCTCAGCCAGAGGCAGGGCTGGCTAAAATCCTTGAGGTCCACACACCTGTGACCCAACCCCTCCTGCCAGGCTCCACCTTCAAAAAGCTCTACAGCCCTCCCCACAAAGTGCCACTGGTAGCAGACAAGGCATTCAGAACACAGGAGTCTGTGGGACACACTTCACATGCAAACCATAGGAGTTGCTGGCACTGCTCACAGGACCAGGAAGACAGCCACTGATGGCCTGGGCACCTGGCTGCTGCCTATGGAAGTAGACAGGCAGGAATGCTGAAATACGCGTTAGTGTTTTTCAGGTTTGTTTCCAGCCTCCTTATTTGGAGACAGTGGAGGAAAAAAAAAAAA